AACATCGGGAAATTTTATGTGGAGGCCTTCTGTTATTTATGTATTGTGAATATAATTCTTATCATAACTGTCTGCCATAGTTACCGGTGTCTTTTGAAAAATTTTTTAGATGGAGTAAAAAACTGTTGACGTCCATTTAACTAATACCAATTCGAATGTCTATGAGGTTAATGAAATGATTAGCATACTGCTCAGTCACATCAGATGTTGACTTAAATAACTAAACAGGTTAGAAATAACTAAATTTCCCATATCTTTATTCAAAATACTCAGTGAACTATGTTTTGATTGGTTCATTCATCCTTCAGGAACAGATGACACTTAACAAGCAAAATTGTGCAATAGTTATACTGAGTTGAACTTAGATGCTAGAAAACCAATAACTGCTAAAAATTAGAAGGTTCAACCACAGAAGATTGTAATGATGTAAGCAGCTGATGGGAGCAACCATTGTTCGTATCTCTATTTAGAAGTTTTCTAGGACTTACTGTTTTCAAGCTGGTATTCATCACAAACTGAAGTCAGTTGAAGAACAACTGACGATTCCGGAACAGGACAAAAGACGCATCGCCAGTAATCGAAATCAGGTGTGGTAGCAAGCGCGTTAACTATTCAACTATTGAGTATGTGTTAAACGAACCATAATTTCTTGTATCCCTTAATTCTAGATATAACGCGACTATTGTATAAGATCATCAACTGACATTTACTTCACTTCCAACTTGGCTGACTTCAAATATCACGGCTTCGATATACGTCACTAATGCACATTAGACAGTAGTTTACTTCGAGGTTATCTCTACTGAATTGATCGCATTACTGCAAAAATACTTCCCTGTTCATTAAAAAGTTGGACAGTCTAGATAGTTCAAACCAAGCTATGATGTTTTATGAAATATCCTCCTGACTCATTTGAAACCATTTGGCGATAATCTCACTGGCCATCTATACCACAGTTAGTGCCTAACCGAGTTTTGTTGCCGTATTTATCCATCATTTATCGAAACCAATGTCAAAATTCTTATTATGTAAGTTAGCTACTTTAATTCTAAAAATATGCTTGAAGCTGACTGAAATCAACTGCTTAGCAGACATCCTTGTAGGTATTTTGGGACCTGGCTTTTAACCAGTATTCAAGTTATACATGAATTTCCATAGTATTCTTCTTTACCAGTCAAGTGACCCGATAGATATGTTTTGCGTTTATCCCATTCCAGAAACAGACAAATGAACACATAATAAACGTAGGTAGATGACGAGAAACCTAATTTCAGGCGGTAGTCACCTTCTAATCCGTTTAACGGTGACTGATTACATAGCCTAGATGTTTATTATCAAGTTGAACTACGTGAAAATGCAAAAAAAAAGTAGTATATTGGTTTGTGATATTGTCACTACTGTTAATAGAAAAGTGAATGGTACACAATAACCAAGGCGAACACCCAAACTTATTGATCAGATTCATGGATCTAAACGATACTTCTGTAAACGAAAAAAGACTTCCCAATATTACATGATCATCTAACCGTCTCCAATAGCTTTTTTTAACGTTGGTGGGATTCATTATCTTTCAAGATTCAATTAGCATTTGAACAGAAGATAATACGCTACAATGGAACATAACCAACTATATACCAGAACAAACACTGGAGACTAAGCTTCTTGATGTAACAGGATTGAAACCATACTATATATTGAATGATAACCGATTGTATTTCATTTGTACTGTAGAAAGCAAACAAGTTAATGACATGGACCTGGTATATGATAAGGCAGACGAACTCAAATGGAATGAATACAGACTAGTTTCTCTTCCTGTACAAGCCCGTTATAAAATACGCCATTTCCTACCTTCTGAGTGTCGATGAACTATTACAGATTATGCCTACTTTTTAGAACTTATTCTACTTGCTTGAAACCATGTCCAGTTGAGATGCTACGCAGGCCTTCAGCTTCTGTTCCGTTGGTAGCCATCCAGTCGGACGCTGCAGGAGACGTCTAGATAGAACCCTCAACGCTTACAGACGTCGAGAAAACTGTAGATAATCTGAAACGAGGTGGAGCAGCAGGCCCATATGAACTAAGTCCAGAAGTAATTGAGGATAGTGGCGGGGGAGTCTTAGTCCAATTAGCTAAGGTGTTAACATAGTGTATGGGAGACGCATATGATCCCTTCTGTCTGGTCTCAATCACAGATTGTCCCAGTCTTCAAGAAAGGCGAATTCTCTTGTGATAATTACAGAGGAAGGAATCCCACGAGCATAGTGCCTAAGATTCGAGATTCTATAATCATTAAACGTCAGAAACAGCAAACCCAAGGGAACCAGGCAGGTTTCAGACATAGCTACGATTGCATTAACCACATATCCACCCTCTGTCAGGTTTTTGAACAAAAGCACACTTACCGACACTAACTGTATTTTTCGACATGAAGATGGGATTCGACTCCGCCTACCGAGAGATCTTATGGCAGTGTCTTTGTACTTAACATCATGTTTCAAGAAATAGGTAGTTACCTGAAGTCACACGATAAACAGGAATCAAGATTATATATAGATAACTGCATTTCAACCGCGTCCACCTGTCCTAAAGTTGAAGTATAAACATTACGGTACAAATTTAGAGATAGTGTTGTAAGCTGACCAAATCGAGTCCTATAAATCTTCACCACTACGATAATTCCCGCTGAAAGGTTAGCGTTACTATGTAAATTTTTTTTTCATAAAGCAGACAAAGTCACGTTACATTTCACCTAAATAGTCGTTTACTGAACTTCCTTAAATATATCTCAAAAAAATTAACATTCAGTAGAGTCGGAGTGTAACAATAATTTTATAATTGACTTTAGCTGTAGCTAGCAGAGGAATCCAGGATGCGGGTTTCGTTCTGTTTGGGATTCCTCACTATCTGGATATACTTACGATCTAGTGAGTGTCGTTCCCACTGAGACTTGAACCCCATACCTATCGTTTCAAACGCCAAAGCGTTATGTACTAGGCTAAATAAGACGGTATGAGTGTCCTGGATTCCACTGATAACCACAACCACGTCAATTATAACAAGTAATATTTAGGCAGTATCGAGGTATCTGCACGCTCGTTACTGAAGATCAGAAAGACTAAGCAACGAGGAACTCTGGCTGGCAACGAACCAACCAACAACCAATCACTAACAAATATATAGGAAGTGGAGATGGATTGGGCGCAAACTGAGAAGACCATTCGGAGACATCATGCGCCAGGTCAGGCACTCGAGTGGAACCCAGACGTGAAACGACGAGTTGGACGTCCGAGGTGAGGGAAGATCATGTAAGGAAGAAATGGAAGCTTGTGGGCAGTGGTGGCGCCAGGTTCAAAAGACTGCAGAGAAGAGAGTGGAATGTAGACGAGCTAGTGAAGCGGTATACTCCATTAGGAACCCAAAGGACAAATAATACTATGGAGGTATCTGCGTAAAAGCCCATAAGCCAACAGAGGTCGATCAATCCCATCCAGTATAACAACGGAGAATCACAAGTATCAACAAACAATAATTCTTAGATGAGAGATTATTTTCTGTGTTATCACCTCATTTCCACATATGAATATTTGATGGTATAATTGATTCATCTTCTAATTTTCTCATCTGAATCATATCCAGGAGACAGAGTATACATGATGAAGGTTTTAAAAGTATGTTAACATTTATTCCCTGTTAACAATCAGTTCACATTATAATTTGTGAAAAGTAAATGTCAAAAAGGAAGATCAACAAAAGTATAGTATTCTGTAGAATCCGACAACGATCTTTCACTCATAGTCTGAATCCAGTTACAGTGTTATGAATCAAAAGAGAGAAAAAAAAATCATGTGCAAAATGAAAGTGATACATTTATTATTGACAATAATAATAGTAATGATAGTTGTTTTGCACAGAACAGAGACTGTGAGGTTGAACAGCTTACCAGTCTCCTATGGAGTACGCAAAAGATACACACACACACACACACACACAGTGAGAGGTAACATCATTCAAAACACAGTTGAATATGTAGACGATTACTAGAAATGCTTTCAAAATAACTTGAGGTTGTATCATCATCATCATCATCTGAAGGTAATAAAGAATTGTTCTTGGTGTAAATAAGTGATAATCCGCTACTCCCATTAAATCAACCATTTATACTACTACTACTACTACTACTAGCAGAAAAAAAAATAGTCAGTAGTATGCTGGAAACTCAAGACAAGTAGTATGACCAAGGCAGGAGAAATACACACACATACACAAACCAAAAAGAAGAATATGCTTAGAAGTAAAGCATAAAAGATACCTGATCGAAAATAAATGAAAATATTATAGATATATGCAAAATAAATATCTAAATAAAAGAAAAATGTGAACCAAATGATAAGGTTTTTATATACGTATAATAATAATAATAATAATAATAATAATAATAATAATAATAATAATAATAATAATCAGGAACTGTACATAACAGAGCACTATAATGGATGATTAGAAATTAGTGATAATGCTCAAAATAAAAGTATAAGAGTATTTATTGATAAATTAATATTACAATAAGGATCTTCATATTCAAAGAAGATAAAGTACAGAAGGTGAGTGTTGTTTTTTTTCTCTTCAAACGATAACATTCAACTATTCATAGAATTCAATGAATAAATACATAAAATTTAAAATTATTGCTGGTATAAGATCATAAATGAATCAAGTTTATTTTGATTAATGAATAAATAGATAAAACTGTACATATAGGTATGCAAACAAGTTGATCTTATTCCTTATAAACATAAAATAAAATTTTCAATTCTTCATTTACATTAAAGGGATCATATCAAGTTGAATAATAAACAAAAGGTGATAGATAAAAGTAAGCAAACTATAAGAAACTAGAGAATAGTTTTTAAATAGACTTCAATCAGAAGTTAGTATTATTATTATTATTATTATTATTATTATTATGGATTATATATTGTAGCATTCAAAATAATATATCATAAACGTAATGATTTCATAACTAGATCAGCAATTGGACGAAAATGCAATGTTGAACCACGTATTCGTTTAAGTCGTACTCCATGTAAATGAACACGTGGTAATTGGCATACTTCCATTTCCCAATGAACTGGATCATCACGTAAAAATCGACTATGATTTGAAACATCAAATGATAAAGAAATCGGTGAATTAGTTGTTATACTACTACTACTACTACTATTAGAATCAATTTCTGATGTAGACATTTTAAGTGCAGGTCGATCAGATGACCATGAACATTGTAATAAAAAAGGAAGATGAGAATCATGTGAATAACGACAACCAGGAGTAACTTCAAGAGCATGTATAATACATTTAAGTAATTCATCTGCTGTTTTTGTACTTGTTGTATATACACTCCATGGAAATCTTACTTCACGTGGTTTATTCAAAGATCGTAAAGATGAACTATCTGATCGTGTTTCTGTTGACTTACTAGAAATGAAAATATAAAATAATAATAATGTATTTTTAAGATGAATGGGGATTTTTAATTTAGAGGGTAGTATTCATCATCGACTGATATCAGTTGGGGAACCATTGAAAATCTGGGAGTACTGGACAGCTCTGTTTCGTTCAACTAGTATAAAACTCCTCAGCAGTACGCACCCACAACCCGGCTAGGCGTCGAATTCAGGACCTTCAGGTTTCACGGCGAATGCATTAACCATTCAGTCACTAGGTCGGGTCAACTGTCCAATGCTCCCAGATTTTCAATGATTCCCCAACTGATGTCAGTCCATGATGAATACTACTTCTAAATAATAATAATAATAAACAGAAATTTGTCATGTCATAAAAAGCACTTCCAATAAACTACAGATATTCACATAACAACTGCCGACTACGCTGACTCCATACTGAACATCAGATGACCACAAAGAATAAGCAACAAGGAACTCTAGCTGGCTGACAGAGAACCAACGAAGCAGGAACCCTATCACTCAACAAATATACAGGAGAATAAAGTGGAGATGAATTGGGCATACACTAAGAAGGCCGACTGGGGACATCATGCACCAGGCCAGACCCTTGAGTGGAACCTGCGTCTGTAGAAGACGATGACGATTGTGTTGGTTCGTCAGCATGAGACAGCGTACATACCTCTGAGATGCTTCCCGACTAGCTCAGCTTCTCTACTTGACTGTTGACATCGCTCTCTTATGTTGGTGTATTTTAACCGTTACTCCACGTAGGGAGTTTGACAGCTTTGTATTGCTCTTTGTATTATGGGAACTGTAGTCAGTGCGTACTTAGGCGGAGAATAGAACGAAGCATAGATGATTGTTTCGGTATTTTCTAGTTTTTACATATCCATTTGGTTGAATAGCACATATACAGGTGATATCCACTCGCCAGGTGCACCTTCAGCTATTCAACTCAATACAAAACCTCCAGCAGTGTGTTCATAGGAAACAATAAGTTGGGCGTGTAAGTGGTGACATACAGGAGATCGTGAGAGAAAGAAATGAAAGTTTCTGGGCAATCTTGTAGCCAGGTTGACTAGACTGCAGACAAGAGAGTGCAATGAAGGGGTGTTTCTGACGTTTCACGATTTCGTGGAAACCATTTCTTCAAAGAATAGTAAAAAGTGATGAATCAGACCACATTGTATGTCTATACATGATGATAATCCCAACGTGAATGCCATCGTTATGCTGATCACGAAGAGTTTACAATGTATCTTTGTTCATCAGTTAATTCATCTGGGGTTCATTATTATTATTCTCTTGGGTTCCTCCTCCTAGTGGAACATAGGGCTTCAGTAGCACGCTTCGGTTCCACTCTCTTCTCTGCAGTCTTTCCAACCTGGCGCCACCACTGCTAACAAGCTTTCATTTCTTCCTAACATGATCTCCTTTATGTCACCCTCAACTAGGACGTCAAACTCGTCGTTTCTCATGTGGGTTCCACTCGACGGCCTGACCTGGTGTGTGATGTCCCCAGTCGACCTTCTCAGTGTATGCCCAATCTATCTCCACTTTCTTCTCCTGCATATTTGTTGGGTAATACGTTCTTACTTCGTTAGCTCGTTGCGAGCCAGAGTTCCTTATTTCTTATTCTTATTATTCTGACCATCTGATCTGATCTTCACTACTGAGCCAGCGTAGGCAGCTGTTGATGAATGTCTGTAGTTTGTTGGAAATTACTTTCGTGACGCGCCAAGTTTCTCAACTATATAACAGCATTAACTTGACATTGGTGTTAAAAAATCTGGATCTTGTTCCACATGCTGAGTGCAGAAGATCTCCTTTTGAATAATTTCAATATTTTTACCACTGTAATAGATGGCGTGAACTGCGATCGCCGAGTTGATTCGTAAGTTCTCTAGTTCTACAGAAAAATTTGGCTGTCGTTTTTGTGTAGCTCACATGTTCTATGGCCCTAATGAGAATCTCATGGTATGATTCTTCAACAGGCATCACAGTCGACACAATTTTGTGTGGAGGTAAAAAGAACTTTATTTTTTACGTGGGGTCTAGAGAATTTCCCAGTGTTGGTTGTACCTAATTCGATTCCTTCTTACATGATATAATCTAAATATGAGTGAACTCTTGAAAGTTGCTTGATTTCTCGAAAATAGAAAAAAGGCATTGAAAACGATAAAGCTTTATATTGTCAAGTTGAACATATATAAACTGTAACGGGTTTTATACATTTTTCGATACTCTTGATATGTTCTACACTTTTCTAAAAAGTTCACTAACCAATCTAAGACTCATAAGTAGGATTAAATGTTAAGGTTTCTTCCACAAAACTGTTGTGATGCCTCAGTATTCTTTCAAACATTGTTATTTATCTGAACATTTTAACGTGTTATTCCCACATCATTTTTACGGTATGACTAATAGTCCATTTTCTGCCCCCGTTGTAATTATTATTATTATTAGTCCATTGGGTTCCTAGTGGAACATAGGGCTTCAGTAGCACGTCTCCAGTGACCTCTGTTCTCTGAAATCTTTTGAACCCGGTTCCACGACAGCCCACAAGCTCTCATTTCTTCCTCGCACGATCTCCTCCATGTCACCCTCACCTCGAACGTCCAACTCGTCACTTCCCATGGGGATTCCACTCGAGTACCTGGCCTGACGCGTGATGTCCCCAGTCGGCTTTCTCAGTGTATGCCCAATCCAATCCATCTCCACTTCCTTCCAGTGCATATTTGTTGCGTGATAGGTTCTTGCTTCGTTGGTTCGTTCCCAGAGCACCTTGTTGCTTATTCTTTCTGGCAATCCACCTGAGCTTCAGTAGCGAGCCAGCGTAGGCAGTTGTTGATGAATGTCCGTAGTTTATTGGAAATCACTTTCGTAACACGCCAAGTCTCTCAACCATACAGAAGCACTGACTTGACTGAATTGGTGTTGAAAATCCGGATATTGTTCTACATGCTGAGTGCAGTGCAGAAGATCTCCACACTGGTTTCAGGCTAATGAACACCTGTCTTGCTTTTCCCATTCTGACTTTGACATCCTCGTCTGTGCCTGTGGCGCCTGTAGTTGAAACAGTGCTGCCTAGATAGGTGAAGGAGGTTACTTCCTTTAAGTTTCTCCCGTTGATGGTGACTGGAGTTTGTTGTTGTTGTTGTTGGAGTTGTTGGTGCGGTATCTTCATCACTTCTGTCTTCTCTATATTCACCTGAAGTCCCGTCTTCGATGCCTCTTCTACTAACTTGTTAGTTTTCGCCTGTCATCGGCGAAATCCAGATCTCCTAGGTTCAGCGTATCCCCCCTCTTTTCGCTTCCCACTGTTTGTTGCATGATCCAGTCCACCACAAGCAGGAAGATCATGGGGGATAGTAGGCAACCTTGTTTCACTCCTGTCTCCTGTCTTCCCTTCAAAAGCATCACTGAGCTTCCCATTGTGAATTACTTGGCATGTGGCATCTTCATATAGTTGTTGAATGAGGCGGATAAAGGTTTGCGGTACTCCGTAGTAATGAAGCAGTTTCCAAATTACCTCTCGGCCGACGCTGTCAAAGGCCTTCTCAAAGTCGATAAGGTTGAGGTGTAGAGTTGACTGCCACTCTATACTCTGTTCTATGATGATGCGAAGCGTTGCAATTTGGTCTGCACATGATTTGTACTTCCTGAAGCCTGCCTGTTCTGGTCGTAGTTTTGAATCTAGTGCATCCTTTAGCCTCTTCAGCCCCATTGTAATATAAATCGCTAATTGGTTAGTCTTTACTATTACTATACAAACGTCTCAAATTGAGGACAAGGTCATTTTTCATGTGTATACGTCTTAACGTGTTTTGGATTGATTCATTATTATCATATTCTCGGAGTAATACACACTCTCCCTTCTGTCAGCTTCGGTTTTCTCTCTATTCGTCCCGAGGTTGCAGTCAGTGACTCTTGCGTACCAAGTTAGCTGTCAGCTAAGCGCGCGTATTATATTCCTTTCCGGAATATATACATAACCATTAGTGTTCGAAACCATAACAAAAACTCCAAGTTTAATATAGGTGTATAACTTCGGTACTGTGGTAGAATGTAACACACAGTGATCTAGTATTATTTACTTGATGACCACGTTTTGAGCATAAATTATTATTGCTCATAATCATATCCATGTAATTACTCTCCACTTTCGACGTGTGATTTTTCTAGTTATATCACCTCATATGATTTCTTTTTATTAGTAATGGACATTTCCACATTTCTGGTATAGGTGTTGCGTCATTCCCATAACATATGTTGGGTGGGTGTAGACTCGATGAACAAACATTCAGTAATCAACCTCTCTCCACCTAATTATATTGGACTTGAATACAGTGGTTTTATTCCACCCTATTGTGTGGTTGTGTGTAAATGCATGGACTGCAATTGCCGTTTTTCCCCTAGATTAATGATCTTATTGGGGTCTATCATTTATATTTAGCTAAATTCCTATGTTCCGCTAATCTAACTGACTTCGATTGGCTAGTTTGACCTATGTATATCACCTTTCAGTCATTGAATGTAATCTGATGGGTTTCATCGAATCCTTAAGCTGAGTGAGTTTATAGGTTGAAATGTCACCCCCTAATTCCAGTCTTGTTGAGAATCCTACGTAAAATTTCTAATGTTCCTCTCTTATACAGTGACGCAATAGAGACTTTGAACTCTTTTCTACTCCGGCTGTCCTTATTATTTCGTTTCTTACCTGTTCGTAAGAACTTTTTAATAGACTGTAGAGGATAATTATTAATGCTTCTTTTTCGTATTTCAATTCCATTATCTAGACATTACACTAAACCCGCCTTAATTAACATAGGATAAAATGATTTGAAGCCTAGACACCTGTTAGAATATGTCGGCTTCTTTTAGACAGTAATATGCAAACCACCGTCTGTACTTCGTTTTATTTTGCAATTCGATATATGTGTGAGGAGCTGGACTGTGGAAAAGAACCTAGAAGACTTGGATTTCGCCAACGATGACTTGTGCCTGATG